TGTACATTAGACTGCATCTCCAAAGAGAGTTGCGGTTTTTCCACTGGGATGAAAAAATTTATATATTCAGCCTTATCATGAGTTACATTTTCGCCCAACCGGTTCACTTTTCACTCTTGGTTTCCATGGTTTTTCTATGGGCGATGACAAATTTTCGGGTGATTTTTTTTTTAGGCGAAACTCAGGATTAGGCAGATTATGATTTAAGTGAGTTGGACCGATTTGAAAATACCTCCAAAAATGAGGTTTATGAATAAACATAGTTTCTTAAAAAACTTTTTGAAAAAAACCCCTCAGATGACAAAACAGATTAAGCTTAAAAAATCTGCATACAAATTCTTAAAAATCTTTTCAACGGTATGGTAATAATGAGATTTTTGAAGCTGTTTTTTAACTCTTTTCAAAGATTAATATACGAAAACTTGAATAACTGGGCCAAAACTACTCCGATTTAGACTCGTGGGGCATCGGTAGAAAGGTATTTGCCCGCTCTTTTTTTTGTGTGCAAAAAGAAACTCATTCACGTCCCAATGTTTTTATTTTTTTGTCAAATACCAACACATCTTAATTCAACTTTGAATGGCACTCGCTCATCCTACCTTTCTCTTTCATCCTTTGGATGTGTTTATTAGCAAAGAAATAAAAAGGATGAGAAAATACCTCTCCAATGATACCTCACAAGCCTAAATCGGAATAGTTTAGGTTGAGTTATTCAAATGTTTCGTAAAGCAATCTTTGAAAGAATTTAAAAAAAACAGCATCAAAAATCTCATTATTACAATTTCGTTGAAAATTTTTTAATATTTTTTTTTTGTAATATTTTTATGCAAATTTTTTTAAGGTTAGACCGTTTTGTCAATTCAGGGGATTTTTTTTTTCAAAAAAATCTTTAAAAAACTTTTATTCTTCATAAAAAACTCTATTTTTTGAGGTGTTTTCAAATCGGGCCAGCTCACGTAAATCTTAATATTTTTCCGCAATATTTTGGTGGAAGACTTAAAATATAATAGATTTTATAATTCTAATGTAAACACAGTACCGACTTTTTTTTTTTTGTATGGGGAGTGATGCAGTCTAATGTACAAATATACATATATATGCCAATATAATAAAAAGTTAAGAGCTGCCCTATAGAGATTAATGTTAAACAATTTCCTGAATGCCTAAAAAGTACATATCTCCCCTACTTAAAATAAAGAAGTCGCGGAAGTGCGTTGCTGTAGAAAATGTAATAAAAAATTGCGTCGTTACAAAAAAAACACCCAAACTAAGATACACCAATTTGTTGCAAGTTTAACTCCTTTTATTGTACAAGTATTTTTGTAATTTTACTTTACGCCAAAACCTTTCCCTTTCTATCAATCCGTAGCAAATATTTTGTAATGCTAGCTGTTATTTTGCATATCGTTTGGGCGATAAAATATGTCGAAATGCCGGAAATTCCGGTACTGACTTGTCGTTCGTGGCTCAGCGCAGTGCAGCCCATTACATTGCGAACTGCCAGTCTAATCCCTTTACTTAGGGCAATTAATTAAATCCGATAAGGCAAACAAGAAAAAAAACAATTGTAAGAAAAACGCAAACAATAGTTAAAACATGCACAACATTAAGAACGACATGATGGACATTAACGAAAATACGATAGCAAAAATACAAAAAAAAAAAAGAAAAACGAAAAAATACAAAGAACAACAGCATAAAATGCAAAGGGGTGCGTCAGCGATAAATAGATAGGGTCAAACAAATTCCTCAAAATCAACGAAAAAATACACATGTAAATGCACATAAGTAAATGAATTTATTGAGGAAGTAATGTGCGAGAAAAGTTTTGTAACGACCTTGAGTGGGAAGTGAAGAAAATAAAGGAGGAAGAAGAAGGAAAAATTTGCATAGCATGCGCGCCTTAAAAGCGTGCAATAAAGGAGTGTCAAATGGTGGAACATTTATTAACTTTTTAAGCCCACATTCCAAGAAGAGATGGGTATTTTCTTTCACAGAAACAGGGTGCTGTACAGTAAAATTAAAATAAAATAAAATAACTTCATGTTTTGCCGGCTCGAGTCCTGTTTTTAAAAATTAATTAAAACACAAGATTTTAGTGATTTATATACTAAAATAAATTAAATAAAAAAAATTAAATTAAATTAAATTAAACTAAATTAAATAACATGAAATTAAATTAAATTAAATTATATTAAATAAAATAAAATAAAATTAAATTAAATTAAATTAATTAAAAAAAATAAATTAAATTAAATTAAACTAAATTAAATTAAATCCACTTTCTTCGATACTAAATGCGTCAAATTAGGGCTTTAGTTTAAAAGCACCGCGTCTATCGCAACATAGACTTTCACACCTACTGTACGTGGATGATATAAAGCTATATGCTGCAAATGAACATCAAATGAATACGCTACTGGAACAAACATGTATTAATGACTCATTAAACTGTAGACTCAATGACAGAAGGCGACACATATAAATACCTTGGTATCTTACAGGCAGGGAGGATGCAGCGCAGTGAAATAGTTTCAGCCGTAACAAGTGAATACCTCCAAAGAGTAAAGAGCTTGCAGGAAGGTCGAGGGATGATAGATATTAAGCAATTACACAATAAGTGTAAATAAAGCCTTCGTTTATACTTCCACAACCAAAAGAATAGTCTACTCCAAACCGTGTGCCAAGCTGATTTAAAATATTCACCATTAAATCTTAGTGACTTTTCTGCGATCGAATTCATATCAGGAACGCAACATTTCCAGTCGCTAATGCAAGACTGGAAAATGAAAGCGGTTCGTGGCAGATATCCACATGCTCTTGATGCTCCTGAAGTAGATAAAGCTGCTTCCAACGAATGGTTAATTCACTCCGGTATCTACGCCGAAACTGAAGGTTTTGTGATCGCTATACAAGATCAAGATATTGCGACCAGAAACTACTCGAAATATATTATGCGTGCTTTCATTGAAAACGACCTATGCAGACGATGCCAAAAGTAAACAGAAACCATCCACCTATATTGGGGCCGATCAGTTTTGACGGACAGTCCAATACCCCACAACAGACCGGATATAATAGTGGTCGAAAAAGTAGTGAATCAAGCGTTTCCCATAGATATAAGCGTACCAAAACTCACAACCTTCAAGATTGTTATATGGATAAATACAGAAAATACCAGACTTAGCACACAAGATCAAGGATTTGTGGAAATTAGAGAAAGTAGAGGTGATTCCAGTTACAATTTCGACAACATGAGTTATTCCGAAATCATTGAACACTAGCCTGGAAAAACTCAACATGGTAGAAAAGCAAAGAGACATACAAAAATCTGTGATATTATCTACAACGTCGATAGTTCGTAAATTTCTAAATATAAATTAGCATTAAGAAACAGAAAAACTTGCAACTGTGTAGCATTGTCAATATCCGCTTGTAACCAATCTGTAGACTATATTTTTCTTAAGGTATCCACACACCTATGCGATTCTGTCGCAACGAATCCGCACCGTTCTTGCTGCTACAGACGATCTGTGCGATTTTATAGCAGTAAAAACTGTCAATTTATAGACAAACAAAAAATATTTTTCAACAAAAATAAAATTCTTAACTTTCTATTGACCTTTTTCGTTCTTAAAAAGCGGCAGTCTGCGATTTCGGCACGACCAAAAGAAGAACTGTGAATGTTCAAATAAATCGCTGCAGCAAAGTCAGACAAGTGTGTGGTTCCTCATTTAAAACTATAATCAATAGTTTTAAGTATTTTGTTGTATACCAACCAATACTTGATTTGAACCCGTAAAGGAGAAACAATAAAAAATAAAATAGAATAAAACAAAACCAAATGAAATAAAATATATTATAATGTAATATAGATATTTTATTAAAACACATTAAAATATAACATAATAAAATTAAATGAAATAAAATACAATCAAATGAAATAACATAAAATTAAAATTAATTAAATGTAATTCAAAAAAATCTAAGTAAAATAAAATATTATATAATATGATATGCAAACTAAAATTAAATAAAAAATTAACAAGAAATTAAATTATGTAAATAAAATTAATAAATTAAAATACAAGATATGAACAAATTAATACTCCCGTTTTTGTATTGAAAGAATTTAAAAAAATTTTAGGGTCCAAAACAGGTTTGTTGCGAATATTATTCCGAAATAAAAGTCCTTTCCGGATAATAAACAAAACGCCTGTTGAAATTAAACAAATTTGATATCATATGAAAGAGGACTGAAATAGCTTTTAAACAGAAATAACGAACGACCTCTACTTATATTTTTTTTTTAATTTAATACTAAAGAAATTCATATACGTGACATACGGTTTTTTCTGTGGCAATTAATTAACATTTTTTACTGAAATGTTTTTCAATATGTGGCTTTCCTCGTTTAGACATTTCCGTTTTAAAGCTATGTAAGTCCTCTTTAATTTGATACCAAACTTGTTTAATTTGGATGAGCGGTTTGTTTATTATCCGGAAAGGACTTTTATTTCGAAATAATATTCGCAACAAACCTGGTCTGAAATTAGGTCAGGGTATATACGCGTAAGGATTATTCATACTTGTTTCACATTACCTTTTAAAGGTTTTCTCACACCAGTATGTATCACCTAAACTAAGTCAGACCTCCTGAAAAAGATATATGTTTAAAGCAAGTCGTTGGCGAAAAAAAGTTATTTTGTAATAAAGTTCCAATTTTCAAAATGATCCAAATTAAAAAAAAAAATAAGCTAGCGTTCTTAATAGGCGGTCTAATCTTAAATCTTATCCAATTTGATAAATACTGCAAATACTTTTATAAAAAGAAAAATAAAAACAATTTATATTACGGTTGTCGCTAGAACATATAAATAAATAAAGTAAAGTTATACAAAACACCTTTTATTATTGCTAAACATTTATTAAGTTAGTTCTGATCTACCTCAAAACTTTGACTAATGCAATATTTTGTTCTTCTCATTTTCCATTCGCAGGGTGCTACAGGGAAACCAGGTGAACGCGGTGCCCCCGGTCCCAAAGGTGACCGCGGCGATAGGGGCGATCCTGGCTCCCGTGGACCCGAGGGTCTGCAAGGGCATAAAGGCGAGCCCGGCGTCGACGGTATGCCCGGCGTGCTGGGACCGCCTGGCCCGCCGGGACCGCCTGGCTTGCCTGAAAATTATGATGTAAGTATGCGTTTATGCTAATTTAATAAACTTCATATTAATTTTGTATTAAAATTATTTATGGTCGGTTTCTCGATCACATCTGTAGCTATTCTGAATTTAAGATAGTGGTTTAGAAATTTAATCTTAAAGGCAGTAGAAGTTAAGTTGAAGAAGGGTTCAAACAATGAACGAGAAACCGGTCCATAAATAATGACTTCTTATACTATAGGATTTTGTATAAAAATTATTATTTTTTTATTCATTTCCTGTTTTAAGTTGATCTCTATTTTCTATGCACTTATAAGCGCACCTTCAAAATATAAATATAACTAAATTTTATTTCGAAGTTAGTAACAGAAATTAGAATAAAGCTCATATGTGTCACATACGTGTATCCAATTGTGTACTTCATGATCATAAATTAATTAAAATATGTGTAATTTAAAAACGCCTTGGAACAAATGCGTTAATGCACTAAAATCGAAATATCCTCGTGAAATCAAATCACGTTGATATCGGAAAGTAGAAAGTGATTTAATAGTCCAGGAGAACACTGTGCAGTATAGCTGTTGTCGGTCTAGATTCCAGCCTCTAGAGCTTTAAAGCCATGCATGGTAAAAAGAAGGCTGAGGGCTACCAAGCAGCAGCTAAATACCCAGCCAACGGTGCCAGAAGGGTTCTGTACAACCACATACTATCAAGGAAGTTTTAAGAGCGGAGGAGCGGCTTCTTAGAAAATAATACATTTTGTTTATACAAATTTATACACTTTGCATATACGAGTAGTTATGTGGCACATATTTCTAGGCTCCGTATTTTGCATAAAAATCCGCAGTCTAGTTATCAGCTCAGGTCCGCTGATAACTCAGTCTTCTGATAGAATAGCTGCTCCAAATCCGCGTTCCACTTTGGAGTCATCTAAGTATAGATGATGTATCCAGGCATAGGTATCAAATTTCCCATTCCAGTCATCTTTCGATGTAAGAAGAACCTCGAAAGGTCAGCGAAATTCTATTTGCGGTTATCTATAATCGATGTGCCGTCTTATATTCGACGGTAATCGATAATTTAGGCTACCATGTACATATATTCGATCTTCTTTCGTTCTCAGAGTACTATTACCCACAGAGTAGACCTCAAAATATGCACTCAGAAATCTTCCTTTTTTGCAAAGTCTGAAAATTCGCTATTGCGCTAACTTTAAAGCGCCAACATGCAAATCGTGCTTTAAGGCGTTTCCGCCAAAACAAAGTTAACCAACTAAACGTTCGTAAACAATGCGCCAAACATTTACTTTCAATTTAATTTTGTCAGTTCTTTGCCATCGCTTTTTTAGTTGCCAACAGCCTTAAGCGACCGATCAGCCGGCGGAGTGTGAGTTTTCTGCGAGTAGGGCACGGTTTTTAATTTAGTTTATTTGCGTGTTGCTTTCTTTTACCAACCGGCTTATCGCTTGGGATGTTGTTTACAAAGTTGCTACATTTCTGGTTTTTGGTCGCCGCGTACCAACTACAACAGAGACTACTTCGCAAATTTGCACGCTAAAATGGCAAGATTATGTGTGTGCCATGAAAAGATTGCAGCAAGTAATAAAATATTCTTCGCAATTTACCACTGCACTTAGTCGTGTTACTTAACCTCTCTCTGTTTCCCTGTTTTTTTTTTGTTTTGAATATGTTTTATCTGCTCTTCTTTGCACTACTGAGGCGTTCCGGTTTTCATTTTAAAACTCATTTATTTTTTCTACAAACCCTACCTATCTATTTTAATAATTCTTGTCCCTTGTCAAGTCAAAGCCACATACATATACAACCACAGCCACAGCCACAAGGAGGTCAGCACACCGCTGTCAGTTCATTTAAAAATTCCTTGTCACGCCATTATTTTACTAGAGCGGACCAGTTCGGTAGACCAAGGTAGTGCATATATTATGTATTTGGCTTTCACTTTTGTAACCTTTTATCCTTGCTTGCATGGCACAAGAAAAACAAAATAAAAGCTCGTCTCACTTTTGTTCAGCTTTTAAAAAGTTAATTGTGCGGCAGCCCAAAATTGGTTTTGATTTCGTTTCTCCACTTTTTTAATACTCCGAAAATTGTCTATTTTGCTAATTTTATTTTATTGCTATTTCCGTGTCATTCCCTTTTACCTTTGCCAGCATTAATTAACTCGCTGGGATATTTGTATGTAATTAGCTCCTTATCTTTAGCCGCCATTAGTCGTTTAAACTTTTAAAGAAACGTATTTGATATATCAGTATATTCCTTTTTTCTTGACGGTATATCGCAATAGGATGAACTCACTGAACATTTTGTGGGTAGGCCGCATATAATTTTGTGAATTCTTTTATCGTAAAAGCGTTGAACCACGCCCCTTTTAATTTGACATTTTTGCAGAATACGAAATTTTTGATTAATGTTTCAGTTAAGGAATACATACATGCAGATATACATACATACTTACGTAAACTTAGAATCTTGGAGTAAATTCGAACGCAGTGCGGAGTGCGAATTTACGAAGCGCCTCGTAAGCAGGGCCACTTTAGGTTACAGGAAAACATTTTTTTTTTTTTTGATAAAGCCTCTTAATGTATTCTTGAAAATGCGGTTCAGAAGCCAAATTAATGTTCCGCTGTCTCACCCTCTTCAAGTGAGTAAGGAAAATTGTTATGGTGCCACGTAGAGTGTCCATTCAGCAATTCCACCAGTTTTCTGCAGTTCCAGCTGCTCAATAAATACAAATAACCAGATTGACCTTCTGAGATTGGGGTGGACATGAATTTTGCCCAGATATAGCCCCTCAGTAATGAGAGTTTGGGAAAACGGCTTCGAAGGCCGAAGAATTGAGTCAAATAACTGTTCTGTTATCAGCCTTTTATAGTCGAATTCTCATTACCAGGTAGTTCTCCAGAGTGACCTTGCGCCCAGTGTGCTAAAGCTATATGGTGCTTCGAAAAGTTATTTCATACTTTTTAGTCCATTTATAGGAATTTTGCATATTAAAACGTTTTTCATTTGTCATAGTGTCAATTTAAGAGCCATCAGTAGAGGTAAGAGCAAATATATTTGTCACAGGGACCGAACATAACAGTTATCGATGAAAACTGTCATTGAAAAATTCACTATGAAGGAAATGTTCTACAACTAAGTGATACATAGCAATCGGTTTCTTTTTTGACGTTGATTATCGTCAATTTTATTTGTTACAATTTTATTTGTAATTTTTATGCAAAATTAAAAAAAAATAACAATTATTTATGATTTTTATTTTACAAATCCAAAATAACAATTATTTTTGATATTTATATAAATAATCTGTAGATAACCGTTATTTTTATACGTCTTAGATAAGAGTTATTGAAGACCTTTATTTATAAAAAAATAAAAAAATAAAATTTAAATCATACGTATAAAAGTCATTATCATTTTTGAAGTTAAAGTCTTCAATAACTGTTATCTAAGATATATAATTTAAAAATCAAAAATAACTGTTATTTACAGATTTTTTAGATAAAACCCAAAAATAATTCTTATTTTGGATTTATAAAAGAAAACTCAGAAAAACTGTTATTTAAGGAGTAATTAAAAAAAGTCAAAAAATAATTGTTAAAGAGTGATTTTTTTAATAAAAGTTGTAACTGCTACGATGCCTGATTTGTCATATGTGTCGAAATTTTACGGAAGGTTTAGGGCGAAGTTTTTAGTCTGGACCATTGCACCAATATCTAGTTTCGACTTTTAAACTGCTGGAATGATTTTCAAGCAGAAGATACTGCCATAAGAGATGCATAGAATCACTGCAGTAGTGTGTGTCGACAGAGACATTTACTGTGCTGGCGAGAAGGTGATTAGCACGCTAAACTCACTGATGGTATACTTGAAACTTGTCTGGGAGTGTCTGATCTTCATTGTACTTAAGTCGGCATATTTTCTAATTAGACTTGTGGTAGTAGCAGACCACATTAACAAAGTGAAGAACCGCATGGTCGACAGAGAAATGAGTTCATGCCTCCTACATTTCCTACTAGGCTGCCCAACTTTCGCTATGTTGTGGTTGAAATATCGCACGTGATCTTCTCAAAGGTGACACAACGCAATTTTACATGTTCGTCAGAAAATTCAAAAAAAAAATCTATTTCGTGTGCGATATCTTGGCTCACACTTTATAACCAAAACTTAAGAACACTCGCGAAAATTTACTACTTCTGACCCTATTTTTAGAAAGCTCCATCTTACTTCTCAATGAAAAGCGAAATATTCCTCCATTACCATAATAACCCTTATTCGGAACTGATTACATATAATGAAATTGAGTGTATTTAGAGGGGCTTGGTCTTATGAGATATAAATTTTGTTTCTTATTTAAATAGTTGCTCGGCCTGAGAGACATGATGTTGACCACAGAACTTATTCGAGCCTTGATTATCTAGTTTATGTTTGTATGCAATATATCTCAGTTGTCATAGCGGTTAGTTTTCAAGCAAAGAAAGCACTGTCACAATTTAGGTATAATTTGTCATTGTTGGATAATCTATATAGCGCTTATCATAACTAAAACCCACATATTTTCAAGATGTGATGATTTATTTTTTGGTTATTTCATTTTAATAACTTTTTTTTATGAAAAAAGTAGTTCACTCTATAATAAAACTCATATCGCTACCTAAAGCTGAAAAGGTGCCTAGTCAACTTTTTTCAAAATTTATTTGTTGATGCAGAATGCCAGATAATGCGAAATTACATCGATGTCTCATCTCCCCCTGAACAATTCAAAAAATAATGGACTTGACACCTTTTCACGTTTAGGTAACGATATATGTGCATTAGAACGGAGCAATTTGTACCGTGCAAAATTTTCGAAGAAAGTGTATAGCAAATTCAAATTCTATGGTTAATTCTAAGCAAAAGTGACGAATAAACTAGATATCAAATATGACATTTTCAAGAGAAAAAGAAGTACATATATCTATTTTTTGGTCTTATTTTTCATTGTACGAAAAAAAATTTTACTCAATTGTA